AAAGTAGTTTAAAATATTATTATTTTTTCATTTTCATTTTTTTTGGTTTTATTTTTTTTGGCATTTTTTTATTTTAGGAAGTAGCAAATATGAACGAATATTAGCAAATATAAGCAAATACTATAGTTAAAACAAAGAAGAAATGAAATAATAGCTAACTGCAGGGTGAGAAAAATAAGTATATAGAGCTAGCATTATGCGATGAAGTGTGAAAGGGTTCAAAATATTACTATTTTTTTCAGTTTGTTTTTTTCATTATTTTTTGAGTTCAGTTTTTTTGTTTTTATTTTTTTTTGTCATTTTTTTCATTTTTTCATAAAAAATGTATAATAATATATAATAAAATATATAATATTGATTAAAATATATTTTTAATTAAATATAATGTATAATAATAATAATAAATAAAAAATATAAAATTTTATATTAAATTGCGAAACCTTGTAAAAATATGCAAAAACATGCAAAAATCTGTAAAACATTTAAAAATAAGTATACAGTATAATAGTATTGTTATTCCTGATTTTTAATTTGATATCTATCGATTATTACTGATTATTATCGATTACTATCTTAATTGATAGTCCTCGTCAGGGGGAATTTAAATCGATTACTATCCAATAATGATAAAAATCGATAGTAATCCCCATGCAAATTTTGGTGATGTAGGTCATGCGGCATCCAGAAAAGGAAAAAATCTTACAAGAAACATCGTAAACATAAGGACCATCCACTATAAAAGAAAAAAGTTGGAATGAGAATAAGGGGCACCTGACGAAACTACACCGACCAAAATGGAAAGTAGTTCCCGGGGCAGATGAAAAATGGCCGACCTATAAAGCGACCTGGCGGAATATGTAGTTCCTTAAAGCTGCCTACGATCCGAAGAGGTACGGGGCACTGGCGTGGTGGACCTGCTGGAGTCAGTCGAGAAAAACGGACGATGGAGGGAGGTATAGTTTAGCTAGGAACCCCTAATAAATGTAATATGATGTAATATGTTTAAAATATAATAAAGTACGCCTACTTGGCGTTCCATGAGATAATGCCTGGTAAAGACTAAAAAAAAAAAAAAATATTTGTGAAAATAAGGAAATTAGGGCATTTTACTTAATAAAATCTTTGTGGTAAATATAAGCTATTGTTCTAGTATGCTGAGGTTTATTTTGTTCATGTTAAATTTATCAGTACAGATATCTTGATAGGTTGATTGAACAAAATATTATCACAAACATTGCTGATTGTACTGGTCCTGCGCGGCATCGCATGCTGCGCAGCTATCTTATTGTTAGTGATATCAATTTAATAACACAAGCTATTGTTGACATCAATTTATTTAATATCACAAGCTATCAATTTAATGTCATAAGTTATCATTGATTATAATATGATATGCATTAAGTATATCTACGGAAGTGAGTCGTTTAGAGGTGTGCAGTTTTATTACGTAATTTCTTTTGATTAGGTGATAAAATCAGCAGTCAATAAACATCTATTCAATACATAGACGTGATAAATTGCTGACCCTCCGCCCCTAAAAAATTACCTAATAACTGGCACTTCCTTTATCAATCGGTGGAATTAATAATCGACGTAAATTTAGAAAAGACGTAAAACATATTCACCTATCATTTGATTTACGGTAGATTCACCTGTCTTTTAGATTATTTAAAAACTGCGAAATAAGATCCGATTAATTAATCGATTGTATTGATATAAATATACATTTCAAGTATAACGGAGATTTTCATTATGCTAATAATATCAGCAGTAAGTATATATAAAAATTAAAGCTCAGTTAATAATAATAATAAGAAAACCAGAAAATCAATAAAAATTCGTATGAAACTATTTTAAATCAATTTTATGAGTATTATTTTTATTATATATAATAAAAAACGTAAGCTATTCCTCTACCATAAAGTATGAATAAAAGGGGTCGTACTGTACGTAGATTCCTTTCTAGTTGGTTTTACGTAATACATGTTGGAATCGTTCTTGTAGCAAAAACATCTATTGATATGATAGGCATTATACATATAAAGACTATTACAAAAGATTATCCATGATTCGAACTACTAATAATTGCATCGTTTCTATTTTTATACGACTTAAAATGGAATCTTGGACAGTGCCATTCTTTAAATGTAAAGCGTTCTTCGCACTTTTCATTGCCTTCGACTGATCCAATGGGATTATATCCTCCAAGAATTTCATCAGTGTCTTTAACTTTTATGACAACTACTAGAGTCTTTTACCTATTGCATAAATTCCAAAAATATTCACGAGTAAAACCATCTCTGCTTCCACGAAAAAGTAATCTAAATTCATATGGATTATTTGAAACTAGAATACATATTGTCATTTTTATCAATCCATGAAGCAATTTCAGCTGAATGTTTCGGTAATTACATTTGAAATGGTTCTGTTGATCTTTGTGGTAATTTTGTTGTTAAAATCACACGAGACGGAAGAATCACTGATGATACTGGATGATTTGGTGCCATATGTCTTTTGAATAAATCTTTCCAAAGATTTTTTCAAGGGATTTTCTTATATGGTTGAATTTGTTCATAAATATCTTCACCAGAAATTTGAAAATAACGGATTAAGAGGTAAGCAATTTTTTAAAGTAGTTTTTAATGATAAAATATTTTCATTAGACCAGTCCTCAGGATTGGGCGATAAACCAGAATTCTGAGCAATACCCCATTTGATAATATATCTCCAAATCTTAACTTCTTCCATTTGTAAATCAATCAACAAACTATTGCATTTTCTCGAGTAGATGTGAAATCTTCGGATTCAAAAACTTTATTTTGCCACGATATCGTTACATCATTTTTGTAAATTTAAAAGTTTATTATTTGGGAAATTTCTTGATAAATACGGTCAAAATGTAGATGAAGCCAATGAGCATTTGATTCAATTAAAAGAATTTCAAGATATCCAGCTAATTCTTCAAGAATAAGTCCATACGCAACAAGCATTAATTCAAAAATAATGTACTTCAACATTTTCTAATAATTCTATTCCTCCGTAAATGTATAAAAAATGTTAGTGATTTCATATACATTATTTATTGGATTGAAGCAACTTATAACCTACTTGATAATAATTTCAAATTGTTGAATAGAAATATTTTTTAAATTAATCGTTTTAATATTATTTCCATCTTTGCCAACTGTTTTTAATTCATTACGAAAATACAAAGATCGATGTTTCAAAATAGCTGAATGTGCTTGAAATGGTTTATCGTTTGGAGATTCTCCAATTTTAATAATTACATTAAAATCTTCTTTATTTTCAAGAAGTTCAAGATAATTGTTTGAAAGTTTTTCGAAAAACTGGTTGCCATTTGGTTTAAATGTGTCTAAGTGG